CCGGGAGTCGCGTGCAGCTGTTACTGCACCGGTTGGAGAATTGTGCGTCTCTTCTCCTCCCAAGCTGCTCATAATACAGTGATAAAAATGATTATGTACTTTATTCCACAATCACTTCAGCCGCATATCAAGATTTAACACTCAAATTTTCCTAAAGACTTTCTTGGACATCTTGAGGAGAGATGACATCCAAGGCTGAAGCTGCTGAATTCCTGCTCTGAAGCGTAGATTACACGCAGCAGTTCCCCGAGAGGCAGGAGGGGTGTCCATTGAGCACTGCCCTGGTGGGATGCAAGTTTTCCAAAGGCAGAACCTACATAGATAATATTTACCTTTTTTTCTCTCTTCCTAGAGTGAATTCTTAAACCTCATTCAAAAATTAACCTCTATAAAACATACGGCATCTATATAGAAATAATATTATAAATGACCATTATATTGTTCACCAAGGTCTTCCTAGCAAATAAGTCAATGAAATAAACGGTGGCGTATTGTATGGCATGAACAACAGTTGCGAATGGCTTTAACAATTGAAGAAGATAATACGATTATGCACTAAGTCCTGGAAATAGTATAAGTATGTTGTGTGAATTAGTTATAAAAGGGCTCCTTACTACTATTTTAAGTTTTCCTGAGGAAAAATGCATAATTTAATTTAAAAAGTGCTAAGCCTAATAATATATTATACATGAAACAGTAGCATTTTAAATGACCTTTCTACCTTAAGTTCTTATGCCAGCCCTTTCCAAGATGACTTAGCCTAATTTATGTTTTTTTGACACTGCCTGCCAATGAAGTTTTAAATGGTGGCCTTTTTCCCTCCTGATAAATTTTCCTAAAACAAAGGTATTTTCAACAGACTTTAGAGCTTTCCATGCTTTATACTTTCTCAGTATTTCATGATTTCTCAGCTGACAGCTAGAATTCATAAATTACTTGGCGAAATGCCTTTTTTCCTATTTTTAACCTGTGATCTAACCTGGTTAATTGCCCTGTCTAAAATCTTACAGCAAGTTTTTGGCAGAATCAGGACTAAAACCTTTATCTTCACATTTTCACTTGCTCATGCCTGGCCGGTATGAGGCATGATTGGACGGACGGCCTGAATCAGACTTTTATTTCTTATTGGGAAGGTATAAAAGCTTTCAATTATTAGGCGATTGGTTCAAGGATATATTTCTAAATCATCAACTAGAATTGCTAGCATTTTATGCTTACTGAATATTTTTACCACATACAAAAGCTATGTATTTAGATATTTCAGGATAGTACCAGATACACTAAGGAAAATAGATTGAACTATGAGAATTAGGTCATCTTGAAAATTAGATCTGGAAAATTAGAGAAGAGAGGAAAAGTATAAAGTGTCGTTATTCTGATAACCTTCATTCCATTTAGAAGTCATTACATGAATGTAATGGGAGATAAAATAGATTTTTATTTAATAAACCATTCTATGAAAAACTATTATGAACTGAATTCTAGTGATTAGATGCTGGTTTATATTTTGAGTTTAAATCATTCAGAGAGTGATCCTAACACAAAGTGAGTATAAATGAGCTATTGTTGTGGGCTTGATCCCTGGTCAGGGCACATATAAGAATCAGCTAATGAATGCATAAATAATGGATATTTCTTTCTTTTTCTCTTTCGGTCCCTTCCTCTCTCTCTAAAATCAGTCAATAATTGAAATAAATAAAAGAAATATGGCTGAAAGCAAAATACTCTACAACCCAGCGATCCTACTCCTGAATGAAAATGCCAGAGTTCTCTCCCTCGTACCCAGTGAGGCACTGAATGAGATTTTTCAATGAATTATTGATGGTAATAATAAAAACTTGGAAACTCTCTAAATGGCAATCAGCAGGATAATGGAAATATAAATTGTAGTATATCTATATATATAAAAGCCAAGTGACCAGGACACCAGAATGACCAGTTGCTTTGATGTGTACTGTGGCCATGATCAGCTCCCCCACCCCAATCGGGGGTGGGGCCAGCTGGCCAACTGCCTGCGGTCCCTCCCCTTGGCCAGCCAGCCCCGATTGGCCCCAATCGGGGCTGGCTGGCCAGACTCCACCCATGCACAAATTCGTGCACCGGGCCTCTAGTATACTTATAAGGGAATAGCTGTGTCTGGGTCACCTTGGTCTCGGCGTGCCACCACTGTGATGGGGGTGTGTGGCAGTTGAGAAGGGAGCCCAGTTTGCAAGGTGCAGCCCCCGCACCTGCTGCCACCTATTTCCTGTGGCTGCTGAAACTGCAGCGATGTGGCCAGGAGGCTGGAGATACATCTTCACTGCTGCTCCCAAGGCTCCCCTGGTCTGAGCACTCCCGTAATTGGGGAGAGAGCCAGGTATGGGTGCTGTTTGCGGCTGCTGCTGCCTCTCTTAATCCTCTGCTGGGCTGTGTGGTAAGGGCTGTACCCTGACTCCCCCAACTGCTGCCATGTTGGTTGGGGCTGTGGGTTCACCTGAGGTGCCTGTGGGTTCTGTTCTGTCTCTTTACCATTCTGCCTTCCCTCCACGTGCCAACACACTCACCTTCAGATGTACAGCTGTGGGCACCTTTCGGGAAATCTCTTCACTGAGCAGAGGAACCTGGGTTGTGGGATAAAGGTCCTCTTAGTTGTAGATAGATGGGAGGGGAGATGGGTACAATGGGGTCCACTTGCTCTGGGGTCTGATGCTCACAGTATTTCAAAGTATACAATAGGGACTTAGAATTTAGGAGGATAAGAAACTCTTAAATATCAGTTGCCTGTGCTTCTGTCCCCCTCTGTTAACTTTCTTCCAAATGGTCATTTAATCTGTGTTTGAAAACTTTGAGCAAAGAAGGATTTGTGTACAATTGTGAAAATCCATTTGACATGCTACACATTACACTCATACTTGATTGTTACCTGGGTTTGATCAGGACAACCTCTGCAGGTATTACGCATCCCACCCCTACCCTCTCGTTCTGTCAGCTTGACTCTGAATTTGCTACAGATCTTAGAATGTGATGCATGTAATCAAATAAGCGTAATGCTGAGGCCATTAACGGGCACCAATCATCTTTCTTTAATGTCCTGAGAAATTAGTTCAAAACAGTCTAGGAGGTTTCTGAGACCAGATTTAGAGAACTCTAGATTAGGTGAAGTATTATGAGAAAGAAAAAATTCTTTGGCTTTGCTAGAGAAATGTTTTACTTGGGTAATTTAAGACACCCAGTGCCCCATTTCTCCGTGTCAAAGTTCACTGGGGCTCACTGAGCTGCCGTGAGGGTAGCTCTGTAAACTGGATATTGGTGTCATAAAGATTTGTGTTGGAGATACTGTGTGTCATACTGTTAAAGCTTTTAACTACTGGAAAGACCGGTTCGGTTGGGTTTGTCTCAGGTTTGAAGAGAGATTGCAGATGTAAAATCTGTCATATCTAATATGGAAGCAGTTACATTGGGGCACATGTCACATTTTAAAACTAGAACTGGAAAATTGAATATAAGTCGGAGTAATTTGCTTTTGTCTAAGTATTGTTGGTGCTTTATTGTTGAGGTACTTTTTCTGTGGAAGTGGCGTTATCATTTTCATGTCCCTAATCCAGCATATTTGGTAGACTTTGACCTTAAGACCCGTAGCTGCATTGCAGTCTCCTCTGTTGAAATGTTTTATAAGCACTTGACTATCTAAAACCAAACTCCCACTCTGCCTCCTCAGTGGAAGTCTCATGAGATTGTTGACAGCATTCCAGACTTCTGTTCCTCAAATGATAATTTTACTAAATAGTTTTCTCATTTGCTATAAAATTTTATTTATTTATTTATTTATTTACTTTTTAAACTCTTTTATGAAAACGAAGACAAACACACACATTAGCCTAGGTTTACATAGGGTCGGGATCATCAGTATCGCTGACTTCCACGTTCATGTCCATGTCCGTGTCCCCCAGGTAGGTCTTCAGGGGCAACACAGCCTCTGTCCAGCACCTAATTGCTGAGCTTATGATACTTGTTGTATGTGGAATTTTAGAGTAGTTTATCCTGTAAGCTGTGCTTAGAGATTTGTTTGCATTCAGTTCTTTCACTGTTGTCTTTCTCATGTATCAATCAGTGGAAATATTTTTTACATATCTCTTGCCTTGATCTACAGAGGACTTAAGGTTGTATTTAGTATACCCTAGATCAGTGGTCGGCAAACTCATTAGTCAACAGAGCCAAATATCAACAGTACAACGATTGAAATTTCTTTTGAGAGCCACATTTTTTAAACTTAAACTATATAGGTAGGTACATTGTTATTAACTTAATTAGGGTACTCCTAAGGCTTAGGAAGAGCCACACTCAGGGGCCAAAGAGCTGCATGTGGCTCTTGAGCCACAGTTTGCCGACCACGGCCCTAGATGAATGTTAATAGAAGGTCTAATTTTTTTTATGGGTGTGTGTTTTGTGTTTATGTAGCAGTTAGTTTGACAAGTGTCTTCTGTATCCTCATGGGGTTGTCCTCTTCATAAAATGAAAGAGAGTTTTTTTTTGTTTGTTTTACTGTCCAGATTATAAATGCCATGACAATTTCTTACCACCAAGTAAAATATTTTAGAAATTGACTAGAAAGTAAAACCACATTCACAACGTTTCCAGGCTCAGTTATTATGAAGGTCTCCAAAGTGACATATTAGAGTAAAGCTTAGATACCAGTCATAATCCTGGGGCATCCGTAGGTATGCATTGGGGAAATGGCTGGTTCACCAAGCTTGATTTAGATGTCACGGATTACAAGACCTACAGTTGCTCACAGTCCCATCAAGTCAAATCACAGACTGGTGAGAGGAAAGTGCAAAATTGTGATGTTCTCTATAAATAACTTTCCTAAACTTCTGCTGAAAATTTCTACAGAATATAAAGTGTACTTTTAATACATGATTTGCAGTCAACCGGTCAAGACCTCCATTTCTTTTCATACTAAGTAAAAATGTAACCACTTGCCACAACTAAGATGTTTTTCCCTTATCCCTGTTTTTTAGTGTCTAAGAAGCACGGCAAGCTCATCACTTTCTTACGCACATTCATGAAGTCTCGACCAACAAAACAGAAGCTGAAGCAGCGGGGGATCTTGAAAGAGAGGGTGTTTGGTTGTGACCTGGGGGAGCACCTTCTCAATTCTGGTTTTGAAGGTAAACATACATTCTCTACTCTTATCATTCTAGTTTCTAACCTCTGCATGTTGATTTTCTAGAACCAATTGTGCAATAGATTAGGCAAGTAATTTCTGTTCCATTTAAGTTCGGCAGCAGGTATTGAACATTCTTGGGTCCTTATCTTAGTTCTGGGGGAGCTGAGAATAAAGATGGGTCTAAGAAGGTACTTTGAATCAGATACTTCTGATCAGTTTAGGAAGAGCAAGACATTTGCGGGAAACACGGTCAGTTGGCATTATTTTTATATCTGCCCAGATAGCTTTCTCAGCCAGCTTTCCCCTCCCACATTTTGTTCTAAAGTATTTACTTAATTTCTTGTTTGAAAAATAGAGCCATAGTTTTGAGGCTATAAAATACCAAGCCCAGTCTCCCAACTTTTATGGCTAAAAATTTTCATTTCGTTGCCTGTAAATCAAGTTCCGACTCAAGAATTCAGTGGGTGGTGTGAATGGATAGAGGGGAATGAATAGATAAGAAGACAGAAAAATGGGGTTTTCTTTTGATTTAAAAAAAATGCACTTCCCTCTACCAGTAGAGATGCTAGAGTCTTAAAGTAGTATCCAAAGTACCTATAATGTTGATAAGTACCAGAAATAGATGATTTGTAAAATTCTAAATCCTGATGAGAATACCCATTGTATTTTTTTAAGACCGCTGATGAAAAGTAGTGTAAATATCAATACAGTAAACAAAATACAGAAAAGTGTTTATTCTCATCGGTAGCCATGAAAGTGTATTTTTGAGCCATTTTGAGATATTTTATATTGATATATAACATCATTAATATAATAAAGGTGCTTTTCTAAATTATGATCATATTAACTGTAACCAAATGGACAGCTATATATTTCTCTAGCAAAATGTGTTTATTCAGGAGCAACGAAGAATTACAATTTAGGACATCATGTAGTCTAACTGAGAACCATGCCCAAGTCTAGGGAAACAAAGGGGAGAAAATGCCTTTTTAACGGATTGGGGGCAGGGCTATTGTAAACCTAGTGCCCATTGGAGGATACTGAAAGTACAAAGTATAGTGACTTTTCATTGGCTGAGTTTTGGCAATCTTCCATTGGTTGAGCTGTTCCTGGGAAAGGAGGAGCCTTCTTCCTCCTGCTGAGGTGGTCAAGTATCACTTCCTGTGACAAAAAAATCACTTTCTGTTGGAGGTGAAAGGTATGTTTCTTGTTGGGGTCAGAAGTGTGTGTTAAGTGACAGGTGCATAAAAGTTCTCTCTTCTAGCCTCCTGACTGCCTTTTAAATAATATTTCTGTTTATTAATTTTCACAAATCCAGTACCAGTAAGGCAGCAGCAATTTTATCAATAGACAAAAGCTGTTGGTTTCAGGTAGCTTGGTGAATTGTTAATTTTTTGAAAAAACATTTTGGTACCTCACAGCAAGAAACGTGTTTTTTTTTTTTGTTTTTTTTTTTAATAGTGTTCTTTTCATGTAGCAGTTCCCCTTAGGGATTTATCCTAAGGTTATATTTCAATATAAACAAAAATGTTTATTATAGCATTAAGTATGAGAGCAAAAAACTTGAGTATTCACTTTTGAACCATAAATTGAAGGTGTTAAAATTGTGAATTTGAGTGCAGTGTGGAAATTTGAAAAATTGATAAATATATATATATAAAGGCCTGTCTGACCATCCGGCCAGTAGCTGTGATGTGCAATGAACACCAGGAGGCAGATGCTCAATGCAGGAGCTACCAAGCTGCGGTGACTTGGCAGCTGCGGTTCTCAGGTAATGCACCCAGAACCAGAGAAGAGGGGCCCAATTCCAGGGTGCATCACCTGAGAACCGCCCTCTTGCAATCCAGAACCCCTCAGGGGATGTCGGGGAGCTGGTTTTGGCCCAATCCCCACAAGCCAGGCCAAGGGACCCCACCAGTATTTGTGCACTGGGCCTCTAGTGTTATATATAAACAGTAAGTTTACCTTTTTATTTTTTATATTTTTAAATATATTTCTTTATTGATTTCAGAGAGGAAGGGAGGAGAGAGAGATAGAAACATCAGTGATGAGAGAGAATCATTGATCTGCTGCCTCCTGCACACCCCCCACTGGGGATCGAGCCCGCAACCCAGGTTTGTGCCCTTGGCCGGAATCGAACCTGGGACCCTTCAGTCCACAGGCTGACGCTGAATCCACTGAGCCAAGCCGGCCAGGGCAAGTTTACCTTTTTAAATGTATGGATACTTAGAAGATATATAAAATAAATATAATTGTGGTGGCATATTACATGTGGAAACTTTGTAATTTTTTTTCTTAGTTTTCCTGCCTTTTTAATTAAAAAGAAAAAATACTAGTAGAATGTTAGAAATTAATTTAATAGTCATGGAAGAGAACTCTGCTAAAGGCTGATCCAGAGGAGAAAGTCTGTTCAAGTGATTAGAAAAAGAAAAAAGAAAAAAAGTTAGTTTGTGACATTAGAGTGTAATTGTAATTTAATAAACCTTGAAGACTGAGGTCACATACATCTAGCTGGTATTTTAGAATAATTTCCTCTTTATTGGGGATGATAACAATGATGAATAAATATTCATATGACAGAAATAATTTGAATATTTAATAAAGACTAAATTAACACAAAGAGAGAAACCTTTAAAGTTTATCAATTAAAATTTTAATTAGGAAAGAAAATGGTTTTTAATATTAAATTGATTTATTAATTTGTCTTTGATTTAATAAATGTGTGAGGAATTAAAGTTTTTTAAGATTTTGAGACTTTATATGTACTGTATATAGTCTATAACTAGTCATAACACATGTGCATATATAGAAAGATAGAGAGAGAGAGAGTGACTATTTCAAAGCTTAAATTAAAACAATAGAATTGAACGTATATTATATGTAACTAGAGGCCCAGTGCACAAAATTCATGCACTTGCCGGGGGGAGGGTCCCTCAGCCTGGCCTGTGCCCTCTCGCAGTCCGGGAGCCTTTGGGGGATGCCCAACTGACAGCTTAAGCCCATTGCCAGCTGGCAGTCAGACATCCTTAGCACTGCTGCGGAAACAGGAGAGGCTCCCCCCACCGCTGCTGTGCTCGCCAACCATGAGCCCGGCTTCTGGATGAGCAGTGCTCCCCCTGTGGTAGTGTACTGACCACCAGGGGGCAGCTCCTGCATTGAGCGTTTTCCCCCTGGTGGCCAGTGCACATCATAGTGACCAGTTGTTCCACTGTTCGGTCAATTTGCATATTAACCTTTTATTAAATAGGATATTTAGAGTCTGAGTGAAAACAGAATAATCCTGAGGAGGAAGAATGATATGTTGATATTTTATATATGTAATTGTGAGGAGAGAGGAAATACAAATATGGATAGATACATAATATGTGTGATCATTCTTCCTCATGATTACCCTATTAGTTGGGACTTTAAAATATATAAAATATAAAACATAAATATATACAATAGATTATGCACCAGATTTTTCTAAGAAGGAAGCCCATATCAGTAGAATGTTTTGCTACGTGACTCATTCTCTGGATTGTATTCCTAGTGAATAATCGACTTTATGGAGAGCTTATCCTGTTAACACTTTCTGAACTTGTGAGCACCTCCCTGTGGGATCAAGCGAAAAGCCTGACCTGTTTCTTCTGTAGCAGGGTGTTGTAAGAATTCGCGTAGGAGCCTGACAAGGCCTTTCAAAAATTCTTTTATTTGTGATCCCTGGTGTCAGAATTCACTCAGGATGATCTTACAGTTTCAGCTCCCACAAACCACAATACTTATAATTGAGTTAATTAAAGGTTATAGCACAGTTACTCACAGAACCGGTTTTTTTTTAAAAAAAAAATCTCCCCACATGGTACTTTTTTTGGATAGATCAAACTAATTTGTCATTTACTGTTGCACCCTGAGTGATGGAGTCAGATGTTTTTTGTTTCTTTTCTTTTTGTATTTCTTTTTTTGTTGTTGTTCAAGGTTGCTTGAATGTGATCATTAATATGAGGGAGTGTTTTCCAGTTTGTTTGCCATGCTCATTAGCTTTCACACATCGATTCAGCACGTTTTAGTTGTACTTAGAAGTTTCTGGTGTGTTTTCATTCTTCATAAGTACGATAGGAGAGGATGGTTGCCAAGATTTAAGAAGGCAACAAACAGGTTTAATAACTATAGTGTTCATTCATTCCGTAACTATGATAAAATCTATTCTAGTGGAACTGTTTTCAAACGTCATCGGTTTCGTATAGGACTTGTTTTATTTGTTGCACATATCTGAAACTGAATTTCCTTACAATGAAATTTCAGATGAGATCTCTTTAAACAAAAAAGCAAGAACTTGGTAGGACTCGGTAAAATGATATTTGGCACAAAATATAAAATCTATTTTAAAACTCAAGGTGAGGAAACTCTGTACTCTGAACTTACTTCTGTGTTTGAGTTTTTTCCCAACTATTTTTTACAATAGTTAGAAAAAACAAACAGGAATTTTATAATCAGAGCGCACTTGGGGGAAAAAAACAAACAAACAAGGTCCAAATAACCTCTGAAATTAATTCCTTAGTTAATCATATTTTCCCAACAAAAAGTCACGATGCATTTTCTAATAATGCCACACAGATGCTGCTGGGAGCCGCCACCCCTAGATGAAACAACTTTTTCATAGGATTTCCATGAGATTTAAGTGAGGGTGTCCATTAAAAGCATGTAGACTGACACATATTACATATTCAGTAATATAACTGCTTAAAAAACTCATTTAAAGCTAAGGAGCTTGTTTTAAATGTAAGTTATAGGATGTGACAATTTAAAAGGTAGAATGCAGGAAGGACAACAAAAGGCAGGAAAACCAAGGAAAAGTCTGCAGGTATAATCATGATGTACAGCAAGTCCTCGAATAACATCATTTCTTTCAGCATCATTTTGTTATAATGTGGGTGAGATGCCGGTGTAGGAACTCTTGTTTGGATCAATCAGCCTATTGTAAAACTGATTCCATTATATGTCATTTCACTTAAAGTTTCAGAATCCTTAACAACATTAAGTGAGGACTTACTGTATACTATACGTGCAATACATTACCTAGAAGTATCTTCTTAAATGTCATTTTATTCACCACTCCTGTGTGTTTCATATCTAGTATAGTCGTTCATTGCAACCAAATAGTGTTCGTCCAAGCACTGCTTTTCGGGGATTTGAACTAAAACTATCAAATGAAAGTTACTAAAAATTTACCAGTCTGTATTGCAAAACAAAGTTCAATTTCAGCTGCTGTACATTTTTGAATGGTTATAAAAAGAGCTTTATCATATAGTTTGAACGTCCTTTTTTACATGGTAGGCCCCAAATAGTTGGCCATTTGTGTCAGATATTCAGTGAAGTAACCAGACAGTGCCCATCTTTTCTTTCAACTTACTGTTGGGGCACCCTTTATAAGGAGCTGATAATATTAAGTCAAAGGTCAGTACTTATAATGTAAAGATAGGCAGGAAATTAAGGTCTTATCTACTTGAAATTGCCTTGACCTTTGTGTTATGTTGGTGTTTCATTTACTAGATAAAAATAGAATTAGAATTAACTATGAAAAGATAAAAGAAGCTCTTTTAAAAGTGAAAAATTGCAGTTATCTGTTGAGATGTGAAATTAAGTAAACATGCCCTCTTCATTTTTTGTAGTAGATTAAAATTCCACCCCTATAACTTTAACTCGCACATTTTATTTTGCTGATGAGAACTAAGATATTCTCATTTCCTGCGGAGTCCTTCCCATCTAACCCACGTCTTTAACATTACTCTTCAGTCCCCCAGGTTCTTCAGAGCTGTACGGCATTCATCGAGAGATATGGCATTGTGGACGGAATATATCGCCTCTCTGGCGTTGCCTCCAATATCCAGAGGCTACGGTAAAACCTGCTATAGCATTTCCTTTTTCATTCCTATTGTAATTCATTAAAATGAAATTCAGAATTAAATCCCTTACATTGATGACCATAATTCAATAAGATAGTTTAGAAAAAATAGGCAACACTAAACGTATTGTTCTCTGTGTGTGTTTTCCTAAATGCCATTTACAGCATCAGAACACCATGCCCCCTTCACCTTGTCAGTCCTTGTGTTTTCCCTTTACAATAGTTGATGATTTTAGCTATTGAACTTGAACCCATGACAACCATGGCAGATGAAGTTTACATTATCAGAATAGAATTAATAGAATTAGTCTTTCATTCCTAATTAAAATTGACGAGGGAAACTTTCTGATCTCCTTGGATACCTATTCTGTATTCTATGCTCAGGTATGCACGTGTTAGTGTTTTTCACATCCTGTCTCATTATCTTCCCCAAAATCACGGTGTCCTTTACACCAGTAATAGAGATTTTATTTTTGCTCAATCTCTTAGCTTCTGGTCCATTCTTAATGTGTTATTTTTCTTTCATTTTCACTGTGGTGCATGGAAATTGCCGTTTACTCTACGGGGGTTTTAATATCCTAATTGACTGCAGAGCTCTGTTTTCAGGAATACATATTGGAAAGTACTTCACTTGATTCTGGTACTAAGGACAGTTTCAGTCTTTCACGTGCAGCAAACCTCATATTCTCAATAAATCCACAAACACTAATCCTCTGGGTTGATGAGTGGTCTTGTGCCTGTAGATTAATATTAATTAACCTCCTGGAGCGTGAGCGTAACCTGCCCTCGCTTTCTGAACGCAACCTTTATTCCATTCACTTCAGTGCTACAGATTTTACCGTCTGTTACAATGTGGTGTTGGCTGGGGATTGGTTGATGTTGTCTCTGGCTTTCTTATCCGTCTTTAATAAACCACTCCTGGGCCATACTTCCTGTAGCTGAGGGGTTTCTGGGCACGATTATTCATGGACCAGCTGCCACTCAGTCCTAGTCTCCAGAATTGCCAAAATCTCACAGATTCAAACCATGAGGAACTGAGTCCTGTTTTTAGATCTGTGTATGAAGAGCTGCTCATTCATAAGCATTTCAGAGATTGTTGTCCATCTTAATATTAAAGCTGTGCCCTTAATTTTCACATAGAAAAACACGTATGATCAAACATCCAATTACCGCTGGAAAAAAACATTAATTCACTGAGGTAAAAATATCCATTCACATTTGTCCATACATTTATATTTATTTGTTATATATTTTATTTGGGTCCGTGCTTTCCCAAATATTCTTGCTTTTCCTTTAATAAAATAATTTTGTCACTCTGCTGTCTTTGTTAGCCATGAATTTGACTCTGAACATGTCCCCGACTTGACAAAAGAGCCCTATGTTCAGGACATCCATTCCGTGGGCTCCCTCTGCAAGCTGTATTTCCGAGAGCTCCCAAACCCTCTGCTCACCTACCAGCTGTATGAGAAATTTTCAGTGAGTACCAGTCACTTTTAAATCAAGTCCTCTTTGGACTTTTGTTCAAAATGCGTAAAAATTGTTTTGGCCAGGTAAGAAATAGTTCCGTGCCTAAAATGACTCCTTTAAAAAACCAGTCACTACTACGGGTTCCTAGTTTTGGCTGATTTTACATTTTCATTCTTTTAGTTTCTGACTTTGAGCCACTACTCTTATCACACTTAATATTGGTGACCATAAAGTTTTTTAAAAAATTATCTTTTAATAGATTTCAATGTCCACATAGTGTCGGGGGAGGTTTACTTCCTTGATGCTGTATGGTGTTTCCTCATCGCTCAGCGCCAAAGAGTAGATAGAATGATTTATCTGAGAGTGAAAAAAGCTAAATTGTAAGTGGAGAACTTTGATTTTTACCAACAAAGTCCACTGGTTGATGTCGCATTACGATGGTTGCAGGATGCTGTCTCAGCAGCGACAGATGAAGAAAGGCTGATCAAGATTCATGATGTCATCCAGCAGCTGCCCCCGCCACACTACAGGTAAACCCCATGGGGAATTTCAGCCACGTGTTTTCATCCTATGGGCTGCTGACTGGCTAAGTTTTCTTGGAGTTGCAAGTATTTATTTATTATTTATTTATTTTTATATTTTTATTGATTTCAGAGAGGAAGGGAGAGGGGGAAAGGGAGAGAAACATGAATGATGAGAGTAAATCATTGATTGCCTGCTCTTGCACATCCCACTGGGGATTGAGCCTGCAACCCGGGCATGTGCCCTGACTATGGCCTCCTGGTTCACAGATCAAAGTTCAACCACTAAGCCACGCCATTTGTCCATACATTTATATTTATTTGTCTGTGATCCCCAGGGCCTGGCACAGTACTTGGCATGCAATAGGCTTTAATAAATGTTGAATGAACGAATACATGAATGAGCAAATGGATGGTTGACTAAACCTGTCTCTTTGTGTGTGTGTGTGTGTTTTGCGATATTGAGAAATATTGCTGAAGGTACTGGGATTTCTGGCCACAAGTGTGCAGACTTGTGACTTGCTTGAATCCAAAATATGGACTCACTGTTAGGTGCCTGTTTGCTGGTTTCCTTTTTTGCAACCCTCCTTTTTTTAAAGAGGAAGGGAGAGGGAGAGAGAGATAGAAACATCAATGATGAAAGGGAATCATTGATCGGCTGCCTCCTGCCAGCCCCACCCTGGGGTTCGAGCCCACAACCTAGGCATGTGCCCTGACCGGGAATCAAACAATGACCTCCTGGTTCATAGGTCAACACATTCACTGAGCCACGCTGGCTGGGCCCTCCTTTGTTTTTCAAAATGTGTCCAAGCCACACAGAGCATGTCTACTGCAACTAGAGCAGCATAACTTCACGGAATCATTTGTCTAGATGCCGGAGGGGAGGGTTCATGTCCCTGGTGTCTTGAAACCAGGTGTCTGGCAGCAGGAGCAAATACACTAACGGTTTTTTAAAAACTCAGGCTGTTTTCTCAGAGCCAGTCCTGTCAGAAGCTTGTTTCTTGCCTTAGATGTTTTCCGTAGTATCAGTAGATGTGGTTATTACACCTAGGTATAAAATTCATACTGATCTGACAGTTCTATGGTAATAATGTTTAAACCTAGTACACAGCATACAATTTGCTGAGGTTTGTATGGTCCTGTTTCCATTTTGCCATCGAACATTACGAGTTCGTGGAGTTGTTATGCTCTATACTGCTACATGATGGGTTTTAGAGTTGTTGTTGTTCAAGTGTTGTGTTTCGTTTTCCAGGACACTGGAGTTCCTCATGAGACACTTGTCACTTCTCGCTGACTATTGTTCCATCACAAATATGCATGCAAAAAACCTAGCAATTGTTTGGGCTCCAAACCTGCTCAGGTAAGTTGCATTTGACATTTGACCTTAAGTAGATCCAATCACCTTGTAAAGTCTAATTCATCAGTGTTCCTTAAGGACACCCTGTTCAAGTAAAACCAATCTGTTGTTTTTATGCGCATCTCCCCATTTATTTATTAAAACAGGCCAGTGGCACTTAGCTGAGGCCTGTGAAAGTATTTTTCTTACTCCGGTTGGTGTGGGATTTACCAAAGGACTTGTATGCATACATATAAGCATAACCAATGGACACAGACACGAGGGGGGCACGAGTGCGGGGATGGGGGAGGTAAGGGGGGATAAGGACACATGTAATACCTTAATCAATAAAGAAAAATTTTAAAAAAGGGATTTACATGTTTTAAAAAAATGCCCTTTAAGACTGCTATGTCTGTGACTCTGATGGCGATCTTGTCTGCCCCACAGATCAAAACAGATCGAGTCCGCCTGCTTCAGCGGCACAGCGGCCTTCATGGAAGTGAGGATTCAGTCTGTGGTCGTTGAGTTCATCCTCAACCACGTGGACGTCCTCTTCAGTGGGAAAATCAGCGAGGTCATTCAGGAGGGGGCAGGTGCGGCTCGGCCAGAGTGTGTTCCTGGCAGGAATGTACACCTACACTTTCAGAGCCATGGAAACGACATTTCTTTCTTTCTTTCTTTCTTTCTTTTTTGTAATATATTTTTATTGATTTCAGAGAGGAAGAGAGAGATAGAAACATCAATGATGAGAGAGAATCATTGATAGATAGGCTGCTTCCTGCATGCCCTCTACTGGGGATCGAGCCTGCAACCCGGGACCCTTCAGTCCACAGGCCGACCTATCCACTGAGCCAAACCAGCTAGGGTGAAGCCTGCATTTTTTATTTCAGTTTCATGACTCCATCTTTGGTAGAAAGAAGCTAATTTATGGCCATTCCCCTAAAATGCACAATTTAACAGTTATTTTCTGGGTACTTTGTTAATGCTACATATTAGACCTTTTGTGAGCTACATTCATGACACATTAAAAAAATATGCCGTGTTACTTATTATTGGTGGATGTAAAGGTGTAAGATGGAGCAGCAGCAGAAAAATTCTTTCCAGAACTAAAAATACTGAGTGATACCAGGCAAGGCCACAGTACTTAAGAATTCTAAGTGTGTGTGTGTGTGTGTGTGTGTGTGTCTGTGTGATTGCTAACAACCTGGTACGTCACCTTCTATTCCTCACTTAGTATAAAGCCCTATTATTTTTGCCACTTAAAAAATGGAATGGAGAAAATTTGAAACAAGACAGGTAGGTAGGTAGATGGATAGACAGATAAGCAGGTTGATAGCCACACACTCACACATTTACATTTTCCCTCCCATGCAGAAACGTTTGACTGTCTTTATTGTTTTTCTTTCTTTCCAAAGCTTCTCTATCCAGGCCCAAGTCCCTGCTCATTTCCTCTCCGTCCACCAAGCTGCTGACATTGGAGGAAGCCCAGGCAAGAACCCAAGCTCAGATCAGTTCTCCGCTGGTGACGGAAAACAAATACATTGAAGTCGGAGAAGGACCCGCTGCGCTACAGGGGAAATTTCACACCATCATCGATTTCCCGCTGGAGAGGTAGCATTCATTAAATCCTCGTCGGTGTGATCTCATGCTGAGTGTCCTCTTGGTTTTACCTTTGCCTTTGTATTTTTCCTATCACTCTGTTCCTGCAGTGGCTCTGGGCCAGTCCCAGGCAGTCCTGTGCTCTTCTGACGGTGGGTGAGACTTCCTAGGGAATGAGAGACATGTTTCTCGAGAAGCATTGCAACACCACGTCGTTCTAAAAAGAAGAGAGTCCGTTGTACAGGAAAAAAATGGTTAGGAAAAATGATACAGTTCATTGGCCGGCTTTATAACATGAAGGCAGTTCACTAAACGTCTTAGTGTTGTAACTTGCTTAGCTGTGAAATGAGAATGTAGTACCCGCCTCATATGATTTTATCTCATGTAAGTGCGATATTACATAGAAGGCAGTTAGCACAGTGCCTGGCATCCCGTGTATGTCAGTTACTGTTTTTAATCCTTTTCTTCGTGTTTGGCTTCATTCACTTTGCTCACACCTAAAATCACTTTCCCTAACTCTAGTTTGGGAGTGTTAATATTTCCTATTCCCAAATATGCCTTACTCTTAGTTCCCTGATTGTGAGGGCAGTTCTCAGTGTGGCAGTCTGTGTGAACACTACCCTGTGAAACTAACCACTGGTATGGACACCCATACAGTCGGTTCCACTCCACGCTCAGCTGCACAGCACGGCTGCCCTGAGTCGTGTGCCGTGTGCCGTGTGCCGGTGGGTGTGTGCTCAGCTGTGCTCTCCTGGCTTCGGTTCTTCCCATCACTTGCTCATTTTCTCTAAGTAAAGGGAGCCCCTTGGATATCTCAATGCGGAAGTGTTTCTCTCTCACAGGAGGAGGCCTCAGAACAAAATGAAGAAGTCCCCTGTGGGCAGCTGGCGCTCCTTTTTCAACTTGGGGAAATCGTCGTCTGTTTCCAAGCGGAAGCTGCAGCGCAATGAGAGCGAGCCCTCGGAGATGAAGGCCATGGCTCTGAAAGGTCAGCGCCCTTCCCCGCCCCTGTCCCCGTGCTGCGCCGAGGGCAGCTGGCCCGCCGACAGGCCACCTCCTCCTGCTGCCACGGCGTCTCTTTTCTCTCTCTGGACCCACACCCAACACGATCCAATGGGAGGTGCTGTCTACGGGAGGCTAACCTCTGAGATCACGGTGTCCGCAGGGCCGTCTCTAGGTGTGAACCCTGATCCCTTGGCTTGTGGTGGCGTCACTCCAGTCTCCGCCTCAGTCTTCAGAGAGCATTTTCCTCTGTCTCTCTGGGTCTGCTCTTAAAGGGACACCACACCAGTCCTTGGGTTTAGGACCTACCCTCAATCCGGAATGGCAGCACACTCCTCTTTAGGAAATATAAAAGGAGATGTTTTTAAATTCATCTCTATTCTCAAGTTCTTAATCCTTTAGAAAAGAGATTTTTCCTATAGGCAACCACTTGAGAACGACAATACATTATGTAGCATGATGCTAAATTGAGTATGGGTGTCAAAATGTACAACTAATCGCTCTTGGAAGTTTAAGTATGTGTAGAGAAAAACACTGCTCCTTTTCACGGTAATAATGACTAAAACGTCACACTGTTTGGTTTTGATTCTGTAGGTGGCCGGGCAGAGGGAACCCTCCGATCAGCTAAGAGTGAAGAGTCTCTTACTTCTCTCCATGCAGTCGATGGTAAGAGGAAACGCACCAGCCGTTTTATTCTATATTTCAGAAAAGAACATAACAAGCAAGTGTGTTTTATAAATACATGCTTAGCAAAGAGGCCATAGAGCATCACTTCTTAAGAATACTAGTATCTGTTTAATATTTTCCATTGATGTTTTAATATAGTACCAGTCTCTAATTTCTTCACTTTTGACATAATTGCTGTTCAATTTGCATAAGAATGGGCGAATTGGTTTAAGTTAACCATTTATATTTATTAATGCCCAGTGAAAAATTATATTATTACTATTTCTTAGATTTCACAGTGAGAGCACAGTGTTACAAAGGATACAATTAAGCAGTTTTGATATTCAGACCAGAAGACTTTTGTCTTGAAAATGGCTAACTTAATGTTAAATTCCATAGATCAGATCAGTCATAGAGGATAATCTTATCAGGAGAAGGCAACGTAAAGTGAATCTGCTTAAAATGGGGACCTGAGTTGTATGCTAAATCATGCAGAAAGGGTGGATTGTAACTTGAAAAGCAAAACTAACAGGTTATGAACATAAGTTTTAGCTTCTGTCTAAAGTCGGGTTATAGTTGCCACTGATTTTCAGAATGAACAAAGCACTGCTTCACTGTTGACTTGGAGGGAAATAACACTTTTGACAAAACCACGTAATGGCAAGTAGGACATCCTTGACGTCATCTTTGGCTTCTAGTCCTTTAGAAAAGAGTTCGTAAAGAAGGCGGCAGGTTGTAAAGACAGCCCTTTTAAGAAAATAATCAAGAGCCACCCTGATTGCCCAGGGGTTTTCCTTAGTCTGGTGATGCCCAATTCGTGCTCTTTGGAGGTATCCTGGGATGTCCTATCAGCCTTCTCATCTTCCTTTACTAACTGTCCTGAGGGCACCTCCTCACTGGCCAGTGACTTTGCTGTGATTCAGCAAGTCCTCACATGTCACTGTAGTTGGGTGTCCCCCATCTTGTGGGTTTTGCAGGATTTTCCATTTCACTTTAGTTAAGAGAACGCTTCACAGAGCAGTGTAGTGGGCTGGGTAGATGCTAGGATTAAGCAGAAGATAATTTTCAAGCAGGGATTCATTTTACACGTGGCCGGTGCATTAGTGAGTATTTTTATTAAGACAGTTTCTGCCTCTCGGTGGTACATGTTCAGTCCGGCAGCTCTCACCATTGTAATCGAATGCTGAGATAGAGGACTTCTGTCAGGAGGGTGCTTGGCAATGGCATCAAACTGTGTGATCTGCAGAGGCCTCCACCACTTTCGAGGATGGACTGCCTGAGAGACTTAGAGCCTGCTCTGAAGGGGGGAAAAGGAAATTATTTTTGTTGAGGTATCTGAAAGGAATCCCTTACTAAATAGATGTTAATACTTTATAGGATTGTAGGGATTTTTTAAACTGAGAAGTTAATTTTTAGAAATTTGGGGGTTATGAGAATTTTCCCCTCTAAACAAAAACCTCTTTTGCTGCTGTGTATCCAAAGTACTATTTAAAGTGAACGATTCTGCCCGGCCGGTGTGGCTCAGTGGTTGAACATTGGCCTAGGAACCAGGAGGGCACGGTTCGATTCCCTGTCAGGGCCACGTGCCCGGGGTCAGGCTTGATCCCCAGTAGGGGGCATGCAGGAGGCAGCCCATCAACTCATCATTAATGTTTCTATCTCTCTCTCCCTCTCCCTTCCTCTTTGAAATCCATAAAATGTATTTTAAAAATAAATAATAAAAATAAAGTGATTGATTTTGCCTCACAAGTCATGTGTGAGGTCAGTGATAAAATAAGACAAAAAGAAATAAAAAACTCACCTAAAGTCACAACAAAAGTCAGTGTTGGACGAGTGGTAGAACCTGGCAGCTCTGAGTCCTTTTCCGATGGAAATCGACAACCGCTGCCTTCTCCCTCCCATCATGTCAGAGGTACGTGTCCTTGAACATTTGGCTTGGGGGCCCCATCTGTGAGCCCCAAGAGACAGTTACCCATAAGAAAAGGAGACGTGCCCTTTCCTTTCCCCGTGTGTCCTCGGTAGGTGAGCAGTGGGGGGTGCCGCTGTGACGTTCACACTGAGAGACTGTTGTCCGTTCACCAGGTGACTCCAAGCTGTTCCGGCCCAGGAGACCGCGATCCAGCAGCGACGCCCTGAGCGCCTCTTTCAACGGAGAAATGCTGGGGAACCGCTGCAATTCCTACGACAACCTGCCCCACGACAACGAGAGCGAGGAGGACATGGGGCTGCTCCACATCCCAGCCCTGGTGTCCCCCCCTTCGGCCGAGGATGTGGACCTGAGCCCGCCGGACATGGGTGTGGCCAGCCTGGATTTCGACCCCATGTCATTTCAGTGCAGCCCCCCGAAGGCCGAGGCCGAGGGCCCGGAGAGCGGCGCCGCCTTTTTAGACTCCCCCACGGGATACCCCAAGGATAAGCCAAGTGCAAATAAAAGGGACTCGGAAGCCGGCGGCAGCCGGGCCCAGACCCCGGGCAGCACTGCCAGTTCTGAGCCCATGTCTCCTCTGCGGGAGACCCCGAGTCCCTTCTTCACCCTGGACTTGAGCCCGAGCGAGGAGAAGTCCGCCAAGCCGTCCTCCTTCACGGAGAAGGTTGTCTACGCGTTCTCGCCAAAAATCGGACGGAAATTAGGCAAATCACCTTCTATGAACATATCTGAGCCCATTTCAGTGACCCTCCCCCCCCGGGTGTCAGAAGTCATCAGTGCAGCCTCCGCCACGGCCTCCGCCATGGCCTCCGCCACAGCCTCCACCACGGCCTCCGCCGTGGCCTCCGCCACGGCAGCCCAGACCCGATCTCCTCCCACCTGGCACACGGGTGTGGACGAAAGTGCCGTCGGAACTAGCTCCCCTCCCCAGGTAGGAAAGGTGAAGGCAAACGAGAGGGAGGCCCTGGAAGGATGTGAGCCTGGAGTCCAGCCCCCAGGCCTGGCGGTGGCGGTGGCAGCGGCCGCAGAGGTAGAGGCGCCGGGACAGGAGAAGGAGGAGCCGTGCGTGTCCGACGGTCAGAGTAAGGCTGTACCTTCTGGACAGGCTCAGACAGGTACCGTTTGCTTTCCTCCACTCTTTCTTTAAGCTGAGCAGGATCTTCATGCCCATGTGCCGCCTGTGCCTTGTCAGGGAGAGATTCACTTCACACCTGCCCTTTAGTCAAAGAGAATGCGGTTCCGGGTGGTGCTGAGTGCTCCAAGCCTTACACTAAAATCAAACAAGACCCGCGAAGGGCCGGTGGTCCTGTGTCCGACTCCATAGAGTCCGCGGGTCTCTTTGGACAGTCAGAATCCATGGATATTTTTTTGCACAACTTCCTAGCTCTTGATTCTGCTTTCTCTTCTCGTAAAATGCCTGTATGTTAGCCTTCCACGTTAACCAGCCAGCCTCCACCGGCAAAACCATCCTAAGCCATCCGCAAGCGCGTGCAGCTTGTGTTCTAAGCCATCCTGCCTGAGCCACGTGGGGGACCTGCTTGTTGTAGCAGCTCACGAGGAGGGGCAGGCCTCACCCCCTCGCGGTGTCAGTGTTCCTCCGAACCAGATGTTTCTGCGGCAGATGTTGCATGTGGGACGGAAGATCGTGGATTGCCATTTTGAAATATGGAAGGCCCCTGTTTTTTTTAGGGCCCAAACGGGGAGTGTTGGCTTTCCATAGATGGGATAACAAGCTGCCTTTTCACTCTCATTTTTTCTCCCAATTTCCCACCAGGAGCAGTTACCCATGACCCCCCTCAGGAGGCCATGCCTGTCAGTTCAGTGTCTCTTATCCCACCGCCACCGCCTCCGAAAAACGTTGCCCGCCTGTTGGCGCTGGCGTTGGCCGAGTCCGCACAGCAAGCCTCGACGCAGTCGCTGAAGAGACCGGGCGCTTGCCAGTCCGCTCCTGTGAGCTATGGAGACGCGGCAGTGGCTGCAGCCGAAGAGCAGCTGCCTGTTTACCACCCTCACGGGACTCTGGACAAAGCCTGTGTCCCCGCCGATGGGCCCGCAGAGCACTTCCTCCTCCCGAACCACGCATCCGGGAGCGGCCACCAGCTCCTGCCCGACCCGGCCGCCACCGGGCACCAAGCCCACGCCAGCGCCCCCGAGCCCGGGCAGCAGCCCCGCCAGGCCGACTTCCAGCCCCATCGAGCCTGTGCACCTGGGGACCCAGACCAGGCCAGAACCACTTCAGGTCCCTTAACAGACTCGCAGTCTGATGCGCACATCAGTTTCCGGGAAGACCAGCCGGGGAAGACCACCGGGCCGACCGTCTCCTTCGCGGATCAGGACCAGACTCAAGTTTACTTCTACAGCGGAGATCAGCCGCCTTCTTATCTCGGTGCAAGTGTGGATCAGCCCCATCAGCCCTCACAACTCACTGACAAATCTCCTACACCCTCTAGAGACAAACCCTGCCCTCCTGGGTCCCCCGAGGAGCCTGTCAGCACAGCCGGCCTGGCTTATGTGATGACGACGACGATGACGATGACGGCAGCAGCGGCGGCGGCTGACACAGGCGCCTGGGAAGCCTGCTGGGACCCGGCGGAGCAGCCCACCGCGGCGGATTTTGCCGCCGCCACCCTCCAGCGTCCGCACAGAACCCACCGGCCCCTTCCCGCACCTCCTTCCCAGAGACCAGCAGAGCCGTCACCAGCTGTGGGGCAGGTGCCAGCAACGGCCTGCGCAGGGTTAAATAATTCCCACAAGGTAAGACAGGGGAGAGTCAAGGGAAGGAAATGCACTTTGCAAAGGTCTGTCCCTCTTCAGCAGGGGGTGTGGTCTTGGAGTCAGACACGGAGTCTGTATTCCAGCCCTCGGGCGGGTTTTCAGGAAGCGTTTCCCCTTGGAGGTTGGGATCTGTCTTTTCCTCATTGCTGGTTTTTCTCCGGAAGGAGCAGTTACACAACGACCATGGCCTAACCACATCTGCCCGCTGCTGCCTCCCGCCAGCCTCCGGGTCGTTTCTTCAGAGCGATACCAGAGGTGATCGTGAGTCAGACGGGGCTTCGGGTATCAGGGCTGCCCTGGTTCTCCCGGCCCCGGCACTGACTCATCGTGACCTCGGGCAAGTCACTGAACCTCGCCTGCTGGTTATTCCCGTCCGCCCCATACGGGCGCTTTAGTCTCAGGAGGTGTGTGAGGCGTGCTGCCTTGCAGGCTTTTTAGAAGAGTGAGGTTATTTTCTCAACACGAAGCAGCAGGTTCTGCAATCGAGCGAGCACCCACTTCGATGAGAGAATGTTGTACGCAAAATGCTAAGGTTTCCTCCTAATTTTCTCATATTTAAAAAAAAAAAATGTCCCGGGTGTATTGGGATCACCTTGAACTATTGTCTAGTCCGTGGAGGATGCTGTGTCTACAGCTGCATCTCAAGGCGGGGCGTTTGCAGCCCTGGCCTCTGCGGCCACCCCAGGGCGGGTCGAAGGCAGAGGGGGTGGTCGGTACCTGCTGGAGTTCAGTGCCCCCTGGGGCTTACAGCTCCTCACTTCAAACATCTCTCCAGAGAGAACCCCTCTCTTTGTTGAGCAAAATGTTTCTGCTGCTGGTGAGCCTGAGCTGGGCAGAGAGTCAGCATGTGGCTATTATTTGATTAAACCTCCGTTTTGGTTTGCACGTTAAGACGTTACAGGCAACCTCATCTCACTTTCATACCCATTACCAGCTAGAACAGTCCTCACGATGGAGGTGGCCGCTCCGCCAGGTGGCCCCGCGGGCCGTGTCCTGGTTGTGGGGACAGGGTGGCCTGCTGTCCTGGCCAGCACGACCGTGTGGCTGGGGAGTTAAGCTGCTCTCCGCGTAGCCTCAGTTTGTGAGTTACAGGGTGATGGTGCTGACTCCACAGCGGGGAGCACGGAGAACACTCACGCTGTCCTCATTTCTCCGTAGGTCCCGGGAGTAGTGCCCACTCCGGAGAGGCCGCCGGAACCCAGGGCCGCAGACGACCCCCCTCCCGGCCTCATCGGTGACGGCGGGGCTGCCGCTCCGTGTCCCGCCTCTGCCCCCACTGTGTGTCCTGCTGCCCAGCCGGGCCTCCCCGAAAAGCTGCGGGAAGGTCCCCGCGCGCCCCCACTGCACCTGCGTGCGGAGTCCGCCCCCGTGCACGGCCCCTGTGGCTTCCCGGCCCCAGTGCCCCCCACCCGGACGATGGAGAGCAAAGTCGCGGCCGCCATCCACTGCGGTGGCGCGGAGGCGGCCGGCGGCGCCAGTTACCACCCCTTCGCCTCGGCCGCCGGGGATGATGTCTTGCCTTTGCCACTTCCCGCCCCGCAGCCGAAGCACGCGCCGCAGAAAGCCGCTTACGCCACCTTCACGAGGCCCGATGTCACCCCCGAGCCCTTCGGTCCAGAAAACTGTGTGCATTTCAGTCTGACTCCAAACTGCCAGTACCGCGCCCAGAGCGTGCCGCCCCATCACAGCGGCCTGGAGCCGCACCATGCCTACGGGGCCCGGTCCGAGCCGCCAGCCTCCGTGGGTCCCCGTTACAACACCTACGTGGCCCCCGGGAGAAGCGCGTCCGGACACCACTCCAAGCCGTGCGGCCGGGTCGAGTACGTGTCTTCTCTGAGCTCATCTGTTCGGGGCGGTTGCTACCCAGAAGACCCGTACCCCACCATCCGGAGGGTACAGTCTCTCCACACACCCCCGGCTGCCATGATCCGCTCCGTCCCCATCTCCCGGACGGAGGTTCCCCCCGACGACGAGCCGGCCTACTGCCCGAGGCCCCTGTACCAGTACAAGCCATACCCGGCCTCCCAGGCCCGCTCGGACTACCACGTCACGCAGCTGCAGCCTTACTTTGAGAACGGCCGGGTACACTACCGGTACAGCCCCTACTCCAGCTCCTCCGGCTCCTACTACAGCCCCGACGGCGCCCTGTGCGACGTGGACGCCTACGGCACCGTGCAGCTGCGGCCCCTGCACCGCCTGCCCAGCCGCGACTTCGCCTTCCATAACCCTCGGCTGCAGGGGAAGAGCCTGTACGGGTACGCCGGGCTGCAGCCCCGGCCCCGGGCCACCGTGACCGGCTATTTCTCCGGTACTGACCACGGTGTTATCGGCATGCCCCCGGCCACCGACGGGAAGCACACGTACACCTCGTGGGACTTCGAGGACATGGAGAAGTACCGCATGCAGTCCATCCGCAGGGAGAGCCGGGCCCGGCAGAAGGTGAAGGGGCCCGTCATGTCCCAGTACGACAACATGAGCCCGGCCCTGCAGGACGAGCCAGGGGGGCTCTATGTCATCCACCTGCGCAGCAAATCCGATCCTGGGAAAACTGGACTTCTCTCCGTGGCCGAGGGGAAGGAGGCCCGGCCGCCGGGGAAGGCACTCAGCCCCGAGGGCGGCGACCCCTTCTACAGGAAGCACCCAGAGGCTGAGCTGGACAGGGCCCATTACCACGGAGGGCACGGTGGGCACGGCAACGGGCAGCCGGAGAAACCGTCCCTCCCACAGAAGCAGAGCAGCCTCAGGAACCGCAAGCTCCACGACCCGGGCTGCGGCCTCCCGGAGCACAGGGCACACCAGGAAGCAAGCCATAGGCACCTGTGCGAGCCGAAGAGCGGGCCCCCTCACCCCCAGGGGGCCGGCCATTTAGATTATGGGGCCAAAGGGAGTCCGGACGCCTGTGAGCCCGCCAGCTACCATAACTCCGGAGGGAAGTACATGACCATGGGCCCCGAGTCTTTGCGTCTGAACCACAAAGAGGGGAGGCTCTGCAAAGAGCTGGAGAGGCCTCGGGGCAGGCAGCCCCCCGCCCCAGACAAACACCCCCGAGACTGCTACCCGGAGGAGGAGCCGCTCGGCCAGGCCTCGGTCCCACCCCCGAAGCCGGAGCGGAGCCACAGCCTGAAGCTCCACCACACCCAGAGCGGGGAGCTGTGCCAGTACCCAGCGCACGGCCGGCGCCAGGGCAGCCTGGCCACCGTGTCCCAGTACGACAACCTGGAGGGCTACCACTCTCCGCCCCAGCTCCAGCGAGGAGGCTTCGCGGGAGGAGCCATGGGGGCCTACCTGCCCCCTGGCTTCGCCCACCCGCAGAGCAGGACCTACGCCACCGCGCTGGGGCAGGGCGCCTTCCTGCCCGCGGAGCTGTCCCTGCAGCACCCCGAAACCCAGGTCCACGCGGAATGAGCCCCGAGAGCAATAGAGTTGAAGCAGCCTCTGCTGGACAGTGGACTGTTCTATTTTTTTCAGTAACCAAAAAGATTTAAAAAAGAGAAAAAAGAAAAAAGCTACAACCCCCCCCCCCCCCAACCACATTAAAAAACAAAACACAGTAAGAAAAATCAATCGCCACCCTTCTCCCCTTCCTGTTCCATTTCCGCCTCTAAGGACTCGCTTTGTCACTAGACGAGATCTGAGTGGTTGTAAAGCACGGTGTTGACAACCTCGGAGAGAGCCTGTCGCCACCTCACGCGCATCCGTACGAGCCTGAGGACTGCCTGGACCTGCATTTGAATGTGGCTTTGTCCTTCCTGGTGTCGGCCGTATATTTCAGAGCAGTTGCCATCCGTTTCCTTTTGCATTCCTACCGACATCTCCAGGGCCCATGTCGCTGACCCAGGCTGGCACCCAGTTGTCATGTCATTCTCCCCGTCTCGTGTCAAATTCCAACAGAGAAAACCCCCCTGATCCTTCAGCTAAGTCAGTTGAACATTTAGCAGATTCTGACTAAAACATACAGGAAGTAAGACTAAGCGTTTAGTAAAGAGTCATCATAAGGAGTCAAACCATGTAGGCCCAGGCTGCCCCATGTCCTGCGCATCCTTATTTCTCAGAGGTGTGTCTCAGCTCCCCGAAGAACAGGCTCAGATCCCAGGGGAAGGCATGGTCAAAGGCAGAGTCAGACATTCTCAGGCGGGCACCAGGGGGTGCCGTTATCACCAGAGCGCTCTGTCCCTGCTTCCAGCGTGCCCTTCCGCCTTCAGTTACCGTTTCTCTTAAGAAGAGTTCGTGACTTGTAACCCTAGTAAAACGTTTCTCACCATTTGTTTCCCTAAAGCAACTTTTTTTTTTTTTTCATTAAAGATGGAAACGACCCCCAGCATGGTTTGACTAGACAAACACACAATTGATCATGATGGCAAACTTACACGTTAATTTCTGTTTCTGACTGCAGGTTTCCTAGGGACACTTCAAGTAGCTATGTGGTACCTGTTCGTAAACCTGCAATCACGGTGCAGTACCCAGCCCCGTTTCACCGTGGGCATCCCGGGCGGTTAGGTTTCTGCCCTGAGGGATGGCGTACTGTTTGCTCACTCCCTCTGCTATCACAGTCTACTGTAACTGCCACCGACACCAGCATTTCCGGTACCATTCTGATAACTCTGTGGGCATGTTACACGTGCCTGGCGCCCACAACTTTCTTTAGAAAGTTGCACTCATTCCTGATTCGAGTTGGACTAGGCACCTCTCCAGCCCAACGCAATTCCATTTTCTCAACTAGCCCCGATCGCGCGCGACAGGCGAGCGAGGCAGTCCTGCCTTTACCGGGACGCGTTTCGATTGTCATTTCATTCCAGGACTCTTAGTAACACTTGATTTTTATACATTCACCCCTGGGGGCTTTCATTCCATTCACTGGATGGTCGCTGCTCTGGCTTTTATAAAACTTGGAATTAACTTGTATTTAGAGCAAAAGAAGAAATCTTTGAAGAGGCTAAATTTATGCTGCTATGATTGCTGTGAATTTGTATAAAGATTAGGAGTCATGCCAGTTCCTTTTTTATTTAATAAAAACAAAAAAATAACACGTGTGACTGCATTTTAAGGGTTTATATTTAGGCAAAGAAATAAACTTTTAAGAATGACACGTTGATTTATATGTGAACATGCTCTGTAAGGTTTTCCTTTGTTGCCCCAGAATTGATCAGAGGGATTCCGTCAGGATCCTGGTAGAAGAAACCCTGAGATTGATCTGTGAGGAGGCCTGCGGGCCGCGGGCCTTCCCGTTAAAGGTGCAGACCCGCCTGGCCCAGCGTCCGTTAGGCAACCTGGCCGGCTCCGGCTCGGTACACGAACCGCGGGTGCTTCGACAGGAGTTTGGTCTTTGGTGAATAGACGGCACTGGTTTCGTTTTATTTTTTACTTTAACCATCTTTTTATCAAGTAGGCAGCCCATTGCCCTTTGTGATCACACGGCCCTGTGTTCTCCCGGCAGCATGGCCATCGGAGAGAGCTGCTGTGGCAAGGACATAGATGGCTTTAATGACAGTTTTTTTTTCCTCAATATTTGGTAAAGTGTCACCCTGGTAAAACATTTCACACCGTTTGTTCTCCTAAAGTGATTATATATATATATATATATATATATATATATATATATATATTATTTTTAGTAAAAAAGAAAAAGGATTTAGAAGGATGTGAGTCCAGAAGGGCGTGGCTGAAAATCCCTCCGTCCAGTCTTAATATTCGTGGATTTGTGGTCACACACAATTTCTCCTGCGACCGAAGTCTTTTATAAACACTAAGGTCAATTCCTCAAAGCAGTTATTTTACTCGTGTCCTATGGGCTCAGAAATATCAGGTAAATATTTTGATTACAGAAAAAAATGACTCAAATTACCGGTATGAGTGTGAAACACGAACTCTAGGTACAGTCTAGCGTTGTTTCACTTCCTGTGTGTAGAAACAGCCTTAACTTCGGAGTTTGTTATTTAAGGGACGTTGCCTGTGTCTTTCCCTTTCTAATACCGTCGGGTAGAAATCGGATGGCAAATCACTGTGAGCCGGGTTACCTCAGTATAGTCCGCCTGTGCGACTTCCCAGAGAGTGTGATGAAGGATGGTTCCTTTCCAACGGTGGCGTGGAGCATTCTGATCAAGGAAATGGAGCTGCCTTATGCATCAAACCCATATTTCTATTGGGATTCTCATAATCCTCTCTCCAGGTTTTATCTTTGGCAAGATGCTGATGCCAGTGTGTTTGGATCGAAATCAATATTCCCCGGGTGTCTGGCCAGAGACGTTGCTAACAGCCCCAGAGGCGCCATTCTCTTGTCACTAAATTTCATCTGAGCCTTATTGCTTACTGTCTTCAGTTTCCTTTTAAAACGCAACCCCTGATGGCCCCACGGGGAGGCCTGCACATGTTTATAATGACAGAGAGCATTTTTAGAAAACGTTAGGGTCAGGTTGAAAATTCTAGGGCTCGTCTGGACAGAGTGTGGAGGGGGCGGAGAGGCGGTTCACACATCGGAGGCGGCAGCGGATGCACACAATGTGAATTTGAAGTCTGCCCCTTCTGCTAACGAGGGAGCCTGCCAAGGTCACACATCTGTCCCCTGCCCTGCCCACCACCCATCCAATGTCAGCAAAGCGTTACCTGAGCAGGGTGTGTAAGGAAGTGATGATGAAAGCAAGCGTATGTCAGGAGGTTACTCCCCAGTGGTTAGAGGCATGTGACTGTCAGTGCTGTGTGTGCCGGAAACGCCGGGGATGGTGTGTTAACTGTGCAAGACACGCAGAGTGTGCGGGCTCTGCCTTGTCCGATGCGTACTGTCAAGTGTTCGGAGATTAAAATGGTTGGTTGACAGTGTAGATTCTGAGGTAGCAAAACCTGATTTTCAACCATGACCTGCATGAGAGAAGCATCCTAGAACGTCATAGACCACACTTTTGCGTTCCTTAATTTTCATTTATATAGTGGTTTTTTTATGTTTTAATATTTTTGTGAACCCGTGTAAATTGTTACTGCATATACGGCTTGTGTATTTTTGTAAATAGTTTTGTGATTTATTTCTCGATCCATATGTAAATATTTAGAGTCTCATTTCTTTAAAACTCATTTGAAGCTGAGTTGTGGGTTTGGGGTTTTGTTTTGGATTTGGGGGCGGGTGCGGGGTGGGTGCGGGGGGGAGAGAAGGGTTTTTGTACTATGATCATCCAGACGGAGAATTCTGTGGTTTCAAGCAAATGTCCCACTTGAACGCAATTCAAAATATCAACAAAATTATTTCAGGTTAAAACAGACTTCTTTGTGTGTGCTTCCTTTTTAACCTAATATGGATGATAACAAACTAGATGGGGTGATTTTTCCCGGGTCAAACAGGATCTTGGAGCTGAGAGGACTCAATCTCACTGGGTGCCCTGGGGAACCCTGGCACTCCTACCGCTGCCTGGCTCAGAGCTGGCCGCCCCCAGGAAGCAGTTGGCTTCATAGCTCAGGATCCTCCAGACGGGATTCTGAATAACAGGCATGTGTCTAGATTCCCACAGAGCATCTTGGATCCTGATTGCTTATCAGAGTGCAGGGACCAGACAAGAACCACCTCTTCCACTTGCTCCCCGCTGGCCAGCTGGTTGGTGGCCAAGCCACACAAGGTGCGTGAGTCGGGCAAGTGCAGGGAGTAGCCCAGCTGCCTGGCGGGCTCCTGAGCGCATTCCTGTGCCAGGTTCTCAAAAAGGAAACATGTCTGTATCAACCAGGATTTTTGGAAGGGAAAACACACATACACCTCTTCGATAGGAAGCCGTGGAAACACTAATTTTCTTACCGGAAGCCATAAATTACAAACTGTTCTTCATTCTAAAAGTATTAGAGTGTTTCCCTTTTTGCCAGAAATAGGGGATATTGCCTGTGGTCCAGGTGACCCTGGGCAGCCACCCCTGCACCCCACACTCCTGACCGTAAGCAAAGACGTAACACCCGCCCTAGGTAAACACTCCCAGACCTGAACGTGTCCCTGTGGAAACTGCTCAGATGGGATTGAAGAAAAGACATGGGTGACATTCCCACTGTGCTGTCTTCTGAATTTTCTTGGCCTCTCATTTCCATTGCCAACTATTTCATCACCAAATTTCCGTCACACGTGATGAAAATGTAGTTCATGCCTCTTAACGTGCATCCTTGAGTGATTGGCGACAGGTGCCGTGGTGGAGTTGGCGACTTTAATCGTCTGGTGCTACGCGGAAAGGCACATTTTGAAGTAGCACCGCCTCCCCATCACAGTCCAACTTCCTGCACTGACTCCCCAACATTGATTGACTCTTGTTTCTCCTAATTCATGGGTGAGGCCAGGGTGCAGAGGTGAAAGTCTGCCACTGTCACGCAGGTATGAGTTCTGGAGCCAAGTCCGGCCGAGCGTGCTGGACCCGAGTTCCCGCTCTAATAAAAGACGGCTTGCCAATGGAGAGTTGCATGTGACTGCCGCTTACTAATTCTAAAACCCTTGCTGAATTCAACCTTGCTCAAGGATTCCTAAAACTCTTACTAAGCCATGGCTTTTCCATCTTTAAAAGGGAAATAATAATAGTATCTGCTGCGTAGGGTAGCTTGGAGGACTAAATGAGATAATCCATGTTTCTAAAGGGCTCCTCCGGAGAGCAAGTGCCCGTTCAAGGTAGCCAGTTCTTGTACTTTGAAATGGTGCAAGACCGCACAGCAGTTAAAGAAAAGGGTTAGATGATGCTTATGTAGCTACATAACCAAGAATTTAGTCGAGTTAACCTTCCTGCAAAGCTGAAGTTTAACACAGTTCAGGTACTTTTTGCAGGAAGAGCCGTGGCAAGGAGAGGTGTGAGACACGGTTCAGGGGTTGACATGAGACTTCCCAGTGGGACGCAGCATGACTCAGCATTAGGGAAGCCTCTGCTTTCTAAAAACATGTTGCAGGTGCCCGGCTGGTGTGGCTCAGTGGTTGGGCGTCGACTTAGGAACCAAGAGGTCACTGGCTGGATTCCAGGTCAGGGCACATGCCCGGGCTGCGGGCTCAATCCCTACTAGGGGGGAGTGCAGGAAGCAGCTGATCAAAGATGTTTCTCTCTCATCAAAGTTTCTCTATCTCTCTCCCTTCCTCTCTAAAAATCAATAAAAACATTTTTTAAAAAATAAATAAAAATACGCTGCAGTTACTCAGCGGAAACCTTTATGTGGATAGCACTGAGGGCAGCACTGAGCAATGCCCAAGCTCCGGATTAGACATCTTCTTTCCATTTCATTCCATTGGCCTGCTGACTGCGGCTCAGGGCCATGGGCATCCAGCCTCTGAGAGACCCTTCTCTGCTGAGGCAGTTGCTCCCGGCAGGTGAGATCACTCTCCTCTCCATTGGTAAACTTACAGTAGCTAATCAGGGCTTTCGCGTTATTCTTACACACTTTTTTCCTGACTCACGATCTGTTCAAGCAAAACGCTTATCGGGAGGAGAGAGTGTGATGATTGCATTGATAATAACTACCAGTGCTGACCGTACTAATTTATTCACCAATTATTCAGGCCATTCTAAGTGTGTTACATACATTAATAGGAACTCAGTCTTCCTAACCATTATGCAAAGTAGCATTATTGCTTTTGTTGCCATTGTACAGATAAAGAAACCGAGGCCCAGGAAGTTGAAGGTACAGTGCTTGAGTTCATATCCCAGGTAGGTGGGATTCAGGCCAAAGCCACCTCCCCTGCCCCCCACTGTGTTAGCTGCTTTTATTAAGTAGAGGCCAGAGAATGCGGCACTGTTTGTGCCATTTCCAGGGTGTGGGGTTACCGATGATGATGATAACTGATGAAAAGGTCATATAGGCAGGTGGTGAGTTAGACAGGGAAGATGGGCCTGCTGATGTGTGGGGGAAAGAAGAGGAGAGAGAGAAACATCAGTGAACTTGGCAGGGATGAGAGCCAGAGGGCACCGTGTGCGGAGGATGGCAAGACCTTTGCTACAGAGAGCATGAGGTCCAGGCCCAGCCCTCTGAGTCTGGAGCCTGCGGTTTTGCTTTCTGCTCTGCTGCTGCCCAGAGTGGACCTTCAAAGGCCGTGAACCCC